GCCGGCCTCAGAAGCACTTGCTCGCGCAATAGCTTCCTCTGCACGCTTTTGCGCGGCAGCAAACTTTTCCTGGGCCTCATGTGCAGTAGCGTCAGCGGCGTCACGCGTTGCCTCAGCTCTAGCGCGCAAAGCGTGGGCCTCCTGAGTAGCAGCTGCAGCTGCGGCGGCACTGGCACCATGCTCGGTTTTAGCCCTAAGTGCCGCATCCCGCTGGGCCTCAGCCTCAGCTGCTCGCGCAGCCGCTTCATCAGCAGCGTGCTTCGCCTCTTCGGCCCGACGATCGGACTCGGCGGCCTGCTCTTGCGCAGCAGAAAGCAGTCCAGCAGCTTTCACTGCAGCGGCTTGGGCGTTATCATGCTCAACCTTGGCTTTTCCCTCAGCTTCCTCGGCACGCGCTCGCGCCTCATGCACCTGTGCTTCAGCATCAGTGAGAGCTCCCTTAGTTCGAGCAAGCTCTCCCGCAGCCTCGATTTGAGCCTGGTGGGCACGCTCATTCTCAGCACGAAGGCGGTCATTAGCTCCACGCTCAGCATCAATAGCTTGCTGGGCCTGCTCGGCCTCACGCTTGGCGTCAGCTGCACTCTTGCTCACGGCAGCAAGCTGCTCCATCGCGTGACTTGCACTAGCTGCAGCTGCACGCTCAGTTTCCTCAGCGCGCTTTTTCTGAGCACGAAGCTCTTCTTCAGCAGCACGCTTGGCTTCAGCAACAGCACGCTTGGCTTCAGCAACAGCTCGCTTGGCCTCTTCAGCCTGGCGCCGGGATTCCGTGGCACTCTTTTGCGCGGCAAGAAGCTGTGCGTTAGCAGTAGTTAAAGCGTCTTCAGCGGCAGCACGTTTCTCTTCGGCCTCCTCTGCTCGCGCAGCAGCTTCGGTAGCGGCATCTTTGGCCTCGGCGACCTGCTTTTGCGCAGCTTCAGCAGTTCCTCTCGCAGCGTCTGCAGCGGCAGCAAGCGCACTCTCGCTTTCGCGCTTCGTTTCATCTGCGTGCTCCTTCTCAGCAGCAAGCTGGGCTTTGGCAGTAGTTTCAGCAGCTTCAGCCGCGACACGACCTCGCTCGGCCTCAGCTGCGGCACGCTTCGTCTGCTCAGCCTCTTCCACGGCTTTCTCCGCATGTGCTTGCGCAGCAGCAAGCCGTGCGGCAGCTTCAGCTGCAGCGGCTTGGGCGTGTGTCTGCGCCTGCTCGGTTTTTTGCTGAGCTTCGACTGCACGCTCTTTCTCATCACGCAGCTGCCGCAGAGCTTCCTCAGCACGCGTGTGCTCAGCACTCAGCTTCTCTAGCTCAGCATCACGCTCTTGCTCGACAACTTTTAGAGCATCTTCAGCGGCAGCAAGCTTAGCCCCCTCTTCAGCCTCACGCGCAGCGGCAGCAACACGTTCTTCAGCCTGACGTCCAGCTTCAGCAATACGTTCAGCCTCAACACGCTCAGCTTCAGCATGTTTCGCTTCAGCTTCACGTTCTTCAGACTTAAGACGCTCCGCTTCAGCTGCAGCACGTGCAGCTTCAGCTGCATGCTCAGCTTTTTCACGTTCAGCTTCCGCTTCAAGACGTTCAGCTTCAGCCACAGCAGCGGCGCTCGAGACTCCCACCAGAGGGTCTCCGAATAGTGCATGGGGGGTATGCTTGTGCACGTAAGCTGCCGCATGCTCGAAGTTGAAAATTCGCAGATGATTTGGGTCCCGAGTTGTACTCCAGGGGACACTCCAGCCCACGTCTCGCACGATCGCATCGCCATGGGCTATCTGTGCATAGTAGTGCAGCTGCTGGAGGCACTCACGGAGCTGCCGAAATAAGGCCGCAGCATCTGCGCCCTTAGTGTCGTCTTGCTTCAATGGTTTCACCTTCTCTGTCACGTAGTAGAGGTGTGTGCCAGTAGATGACACCCACCACGAATCGACACGAGCAACGCAGCGTCCCTCGGTGCGTGGGTCCTTGACGTTTTCTGCTCTTTTCGGGGGCTGCATCTTCACAGCGAACCAGTACGCGAGCCAGTGCAAGAAAATTTCATCAGCAACTTCCTCATAATGATTCACGCCACCAGGAGTGAGCAATGGAATCACCTTCGTCTGACAGTTCCATGCATACACAAGCGCTTTTTCATGTTGTGGATCCCACAGCGGACACGTTGACTCATAAATCGGGATGTCCATGCTCTTTCCGTGACCCAATGGCAGGGCCTTACCCTTGATTTGCAGAGCCTTACCCCCAAGAATGTCTGCACTATTCGTCTCGCCTGGGACCAGCAGAGCGAATTGAGCTTCCGGATCAGTATCAGAACGGAACTGCGTCATTTCTGAGGCGAGAAATCCTCCATAGTACGGCACACCCTTGTGGAGGCCTTCGGCTCCCATGCCCCTGGTGACCATTTCGCCGCCTACCAGGTCCGACAATGGGTGCTTCTCGTCGTACATTTGCGCCGCCTTTTTCATGCAATACTGCGTGAGCCACTCTAAGAAGTGCTTGGGGGCGTTCGTGTTAGCCTCGAGATTCGCTGGGGAATGACTCCATTGTAGGGGAACAAGCTCTAGGAAAGTTTCTTTCAGGACTTTCTCCTCCATCGTGTTCGTGGCCGGGTCATCGATGCAATTTAGAGAAAACAGAAAAGATGATGCATCAGAAAAATGAGGATACATCCATGCGATGGGGTTCACAGTAATGAGGACGATGGTGATCCTGAGGGCGCTGACGGTCGCCACGATGATGAGGATGATGACAACGATCATCATCCCCATCATCTTCATACAGTAGATACAATATTAAACTACATCAAGGACAAGGAGACGTAAATTACGGTCGTACACGTTGTAAATTGCTTATTCTATAATTTCTAGTCGCGCAACGTGTACGATGAATATATATCAAGAAGTTGTTGTAAAACTGAAAATTGAAATCTTTTACAACAAGAACTAATAAGCGACATCAAGGTCTACCTAGGACTTTGCAAAGTGGTCTAAACTTCTAGATAGAAGAACTAATACTAAACAAAATAGAAAATAGTTCTTTTTACAAGAGCCTTAACAGCGACGGCAACTGGTCACGATTCACGCTTTCGCCAGTATACTCGATCTCCTGCCTTCGAGAGTCGTCGTTTCGCTGCAAAAACCCACGTGCCGAGAAAACAACATCATCTGAGATTATATTTGTAGTTGTAAGATTAAGAACCACAGACATTATTATAAACGAAAGAGCTTCATCTGCTCACTTCTAGACGGGGGCTCCGAATCCACCGAAGAAAAGTAAGCAATATTAACGAGCTACATTAAAAAAAAACAACGACCCTTCCAAACTGCTCGCACTCTCCCACTTCCAAAGAAACCCCAAACCCCAAACTCTCACTCTTTCACCTTTGAACTTAAGAGCTTTCTTATGAACTTGCGAACTTAATTATGAACTTACGAACTTAGGAGCTTCTGAATTTGCGAACTTAGGAATCTATGAATTTACGAATTTATGAATTTATGAGTTTGTTTCTGAATTTATGGGCTTGGGGGTTTCTGAGTTTGTGAATTAATTGCGAACTTCTGAATTCTTGGGTTAGTAAATTAGTAAACCTGTGAGGTTGTGAGGCTGTGGGCTTGTGAGTTTGTGAATTTGTGGGCTTGTGGGTTTGTGAATTTGTGGGCTTGTGAGTTTGTGAATTTGTAAACTTAGGAACTTACGAGCTAATTTCTCAAAGCTCGCGAATCAAGTCCAACAGACTGAGCCTCGGAAAAGCTTGGCGAGGTCGAGGGTTTTTGGGTTTGATAAATTGAAAGCCAAGAGATTGAATTTCGGCAAAACTTGGGAAACAAAGGCAAAAACTTTCGGATTTGAGACTTAGGAGAGAGTTTGAATTTTCGGACCAGCTTGCTAAGGTCGAAGCTTTTGCACTTGAGAAATTCATTGGCGGGAATTTGGATCCCGGCGGGACTTGTTAACTTAAAGTCGAAACTTTTTGGGCTTGGGGAATTCAAATCCAAGAGATTGAACCTCAGAAAAGCTCGCCAAAGTCGAAAGCCTTTGGGTTTGAGCAATTCAATTCCAAGAAATTGAATTCCAGACAAAATTGCTAAAGTCGGAGGTTTTTGAATTTGAGGAATTCAGACCCAAAGTCTCAGGTCCAAGACTTCAGGCAAAACCCTCCAAGCCCGGCACTTCGTTCGGGTCCAAAGCTTCAGCTTGCAAGCCCAGAGCTTCAAAATCAAAGCGCCAAGCTCGAGGCTCTACGCCTCGAGCTTTGCTGAAGCCCAAAGCTTCACAGTGCAAGCGGTCGCGAGCTTCAAGCTGCAGGCCAAGGGCTTCCATCAATCTCGCCCCAGTCTCCACCTCAAAGACTTACGCGCGAAGCTTTGCGCTCAAGACTCGGACTCCCAGCCCAAAGCCCTGCACTAAATTCAAAAGCAGACACACCTTGAGACATCTCAAAAACCTCAGAGACAGAAGCGGCCGCCTCTGTTAAATTCCGCGGCGCCTCTGTTCCGACTTCTCTGGCGCGGACC